TGTCTTGGTTATAACGTTGAAGGAAAGAGAACAGTGATCATGGTTCTGCTGAAAGTATTCCTCGTGCTTTGCTTCGTGGCTTATGGTAAGTCGTTTGCCCGAGCTACAATATTAACTTTTTTTTTCGTCTGTTTCTTACTCCGGTTTCTCAAGGAGGAAACTGAAACCTTTTGTGTCACTTGATGCGTACGCCGGTTTCAACAGTCAGTATTTAGAACTTATTGCCTCTTGAGGACCATAACAAGGTGTTTTCATCTCAATTCATGGTCGGTTTTGATATCGAATATTTATTTTCACCCAAGAATAAATTTTCGGGAGTACTCTTAAAATGAAAAAGAGTGCGAACGACAAGCTTGGCGGATCGTTTTGTTTTCAAATTATTAACAATTGAAAAAACCGACCAGAAACCACTCGCTATTTTCTCAGTTCTCAAAATAAATAAAGCACTGGGACTCTTTTGTGACATTCCTGAAATAAGTTTCATTATGTTTAAGAAATATTAGAGAAAAAGCTATTTTATATGTTTCAATAACTTTTTCATAATGTCGAACTCTGTTCCATTAACGAGTTTTGGCAAATCAATACAAATACTATATTTTATATTAAATATTTTATGTTAATATAATATGCTACACTTGAAGCAAGAAAGGCACCGAAAATCTAGCAAATTCCGAATCGATTTACTCCAAAAGACAATTTGTTAGTTTTCTTATTTTTATTAGTAGCAAGGCAGAATTGTGAAAGAAGAGGAAATATAAAGAAATGATGTATATTATGTTGTTTATATTTCTGCAATAAAACCTTGAGCCTTGTTGGATGTGCGTTGTTAAATGGTAAGCTTTATTGCGGAGCAAATAACGTTCTGGAATACATTCCGGACAATTTTACTTGTTTTTAATGTAACGAGTTAATTAAAGTATTCAGTAATAAGTAAAAATCGCCATAATGCTGGACAGATTAGCACCTATGCCAGGACGCTGTCACAACGATTAGATATTTTTCTTGATTGAAGTGACCACTTAGCTCTTCTCATTGTGAACAGGGCTTGCGGCGCTCTTTTTGAGCGCCTTTTTATATCGGGCTAAAAACGTGAGATTTTATCGATTAAAATATAGATTTTAGATTATTAGATTTGCGCAAATTTCTTCAATTGGTTTTGCATCTAATATTAATTGACGTCAATACTGCAATCAGAACATGACCCATACAACTAAGAATTAAAGTTAATGAACGTATCTTAGTTCATTATCCAACTTATCATGACGATTATTTCCTCATCTAATCGCCGCCGAGACTGATAATTACAGGGTGAAAACGATGCTCTTCGAGCTCTCACACATTAAAAAAGAAATCGGTTCACATAAAATTCACACACCCTGTATAGTTTATTGTAAAAAAGAAACCGGACGTTAGCGAGTTTGTTCTCCCGGAAGGAACGCTAGGGCCCAACCACTGCATTCTAAGGCGTCCAGCGGGGCTATGCAAGACGAGGACGGGGCGGCACGAATGGACCACGACGTCGCCGCCTACGACCCGCTGATCAATCGCAGCAGGTGGCGACGTGGCGACGTCTCGGTTCCTTCGTCCCGCCTAGTCCCGCCGTCTCGCATAGCCCCCCTGTAGTACAGTCTAGTACGGACACGGGCGAATGAGCATGCTAAGCGTCCTTTTTTGTTTTTATACTAAAAAACAGTTTTTAGCTATTTTTTTTTCGTTAAAAATGGAAACGTATGTACTGTCGGGAGCATAAGTATGGATAACACCGTAGCGCCGACCGAATTGCATCGCCGCACTTCCTGACGGTGTTCCACCCGCTGTCGAGATCCACGTAGTGCGCACGCGCGTCCTTTCTTGTTTGCTGGCCTGCTCGTTGGCTAGATTCAATGCGACGCGCTCCGGACTAATTGAACTGGCGATATCCTTATTTTTTCGCTGTTCGCTCACCCCTCTGGGCAGCGGCTAAGCGGCCGAGCTGGCGTCCATTGCGGCACGGGCAGTTCACGCGACAAGGCGACACGTCAACAACAATAGTTTCATTTTTGCATTATTTTTAAAGGAGTACGGAAACGAAATGGCGTGATCGCGATCAATCTATCTTTCACTTCAAAATCAGCCAGCGAAAAGTGCAATGCGTATCGCGCACGTTGTGGCTCGTACGGAAGTACCGATGTCAACAACGTTTATTGCATGCACCGTATGCCCTAGCGGCGCAGCTGCCGTGCCAATTACAAAGCTGATTTGGTACCAGCTAGTGACGCTTTGCTACATCTTCTCTCTTTTAAACAAAATAAAATGAACCAAGAAGAGGAAAAAAATTTACAAAAAAGAAATGATGGAACAGGCGATATTACGCTTGTACGATCGCGCTTAAAGTTCTGGTCTTGGGTATCTGACGGGGCTCCACGGTTGTCTTGAACTCCTCCTGAGCTCCTGGGTTGGGGAATTTGGTGATGGTGGGGCTCCTATTGAGGGTTCTTCCCTGACCTGGCGGCCTGTGGATTCAGCAGCCACAGCGGTGACAAGTTACTGTTGCAGCGGCAGCAATTCATCAGCCGCCGTGGTGATGAGTTGCTGCTGCCGAGGCGGCAACACGCGCAGGTGCTCTTTTGTTCTACGTAGCACACGCCGGTCACCAGTTTCGATCACAAAGGAGCGGGGAGGCTACGCACGCTTTATGAAAACTGCTGGAGACCACGTGCGTGAAAGGGTGTCAATTGTAGACACCTGCTGACCACCTTGTAGTTCCGGGAGGGTCTTTGTTCTGTCGCAGAAGGTCCGCTGCTTGCTGCGGATCTCTTGCAGTCGGCTGGACACCTCCTTGGGCGGTACGATGGCATGTTCCAGGCAGCAGTCAGAAACCGGAAGCAGTGTGCGTGTCTGACGACCGATTAGCCTCTCTACTGGTTACGTGAGCAGGTTATCCCTTGGGTTGTTGCGTCATTTCAGGAGGGCGCTGCAGAAGTCAAGGGTGTTGTAGGAGCACCTTGCTAGCAGTTTCTTTTCCTCTTGTACGGATCGCTCAGCCATACCGTTGGAGCGAGGGTGGTGAGGGCCATACGTGACGTGGATGATTCGAAACTTACTCCCAAAGTCCTTGAAGTTTGAACTATTAAAGGGGGGGGGGGGGGGCTCGTTGCCACGGCACAATGTGGCTTGTATCCCATGAGTAGCGAGACGTCTGCACAGGTGGATACCACTGAAGCTGCCGTGGAGTGTCCCAGTTCCTTCGTCTCAAAAAAGAAAGTAGATGTCAAGAATTATCAAAAACGTTTGATTGTTGTGGTAGAACCAGCCTAGCCCGACAAGCTGCCACTGTAGGTTGGGTAGTTTTGGGCTCAGTAATGCTAATCTTGCGATTCTAGGCTTATGCTTTGTGCAGACCTCACATGACTTTGCAAGAGCTTCAATGTCGCATGACATGGTCGGCCAATACACTAATACCTCGTCAACTCGAACACGGCTATCTCGAAATAATGGTTAAGTCGTAAAATTTCCTTGTCATCGAATGAGCTCCCATAGACACAATGCATTTTGCCTTTGCTTAGCTCGAGAGGTTTTCAGGACGGACTTCGGATATCTCCAAACCTCGTCAGTTAAAATCGCAAAAAAAAAACACAAAAAAACAACAAAAACTGACTAGCAAACTTTCGCGAAGTGATTAAAGGGACACTCACAGTGTATTTATGCTCGCCGAGGTTTTTAGTTGTACATGACATATGAGAGCCCAAGTACCCAGAACACAATTTGCGCCTCGAAATGCTGTTTCTTTCCGCCCGAAAACCGCCGATCAAGAACTGGCCGGTTCGAGTCACGCTCACTCTCTTTTCCGTGGTCACGGGCCGTTTTCTTTAGGTATTGAAGCGACCACCAAAATTAATCAAAGTCGTTGGTCACGGAAGACACACACTCAGTATTAAAAATAGAAAAAAACATGAAACCCATTTTTTGTGGCTTATAAATAGCTGCAGATACCCTGACTGAAAAAAAAAAATTCCACAGTGAACCGGAAGCCTTCTATGCGTGCGTCCTTTCGCGTGTCGTGGGACCCGCGGGGACGGCGATGGCAGCGGACGACGGGCGTAGGACCTCTACTTCAGAACTGTCGTTCGCGGTACCTGTGAATTCTGTTTGCCTTTGAAAGAGAAATTTGGGTCTGATCAAAAGAATTATTATTCATCCCGTACCCGCCCGACTACCAAGCCGATTTGCACGAAGGCGTCGCCGAGCCGTCGCTCCCTCCTCCTGGCTGAAGACATCGCTCGCGCAAACGTCAAGCACCGCAAGAAGTGTTTACTTCGAGTTGGATATGTACAAGTACGATTTCTTTACTAGGAGCGAATGTCGCCAATGCGTCGTGCTTCCCGATTTCGCCCCAGAGTGCTTTTGGTGAAGAAAAATCTGCAGCAAACTTTCTAACTTACAGTTTACGGGCTGAATTATTACTAAGGGAAGAGATCCCCCACTAAAGAGATGCCCCAGTAGCTCATTGTCAATTCTGTTACCGACGCTCGCAGCGATCGGTCGACAGGATGGCGAGCTCCAACAGAGCGATGAAAACGGCCGTTGCCGGCCGCGGTATCTCGTCTACTGATGATTACAATATACTTCTGCCTTCTCTGCCTTCTGAAGAAGTCACTGCGAATTCTGGTTCTCTACACTGCGACGTAACCGGCCGTCCGTACCGAATTGAGGACTTTCGAGAAGAACTGGAACGACTGCAAATCTTCGGCGACGTGGCGTCTTTTGGCGCCTATCAAATGAACCACGTGTGGCTCGTCACCTTCCACTCTGCGTCAACGAGGAACCGGCTGCTTGCCGCCAAGGAACTGACTCTCAAAGGCCAGCGATGTATCCTCATAGACCCGAAGAACTCGGAAACCTGTCTGAAACTTCACTGGGTACCTTATCACGTCCCCGACGACACAGTTCGACGAGCACTTGAGCGATATGGAAATGTACACGAAGTAACCCGTGAGACATGGAAAGCCCAAGGTTTTCAAGGGGTCCAGTCAACAACAAGGCTCGTTCGGATCACTCTAAAGGAGGGCGTCAGTAAAGAAAGCAAGAAAAGAAAGAAAAAAAACGAAGTAAAGAAACTTCGTTTCTTCGGCGGCTCTGCACTCGTCCTAGTGCCCGGACGAGCCCCGCCTTGCCTCCGGTGTAAGAAGACCGGCCACATCCGAAAAGACTGCCGCGTCCCCCGTTGTCACCATTGCCACCGCTACGGCCACACAAGAGAAAACTGTGTCAAACCTTACGCAGTGACAACGCCCGGACAACTCCCGGACGAGAACACCGACCTTATTATAGACGAAGCGGAAGCCGAGCTAGCTGCCAATGCGAACGCCTCCGTAAGGACGCTTCCTGCGGCGCCGAGGATTGCCGAAACGCCGACGGCTGGAACCAGTGAACCTTCTCCACAGGTCGAGCTCCCCTCGGACGCTCCCTCTAGGGAACCGCAGAAAGGCGGCATGGAGGCGCCTGTTGCAACGCCTGGGGAAAAGTCGCAACTTACAGCCAAGGTACCGGAGCCAGATGGTGGGTTTTCTGACAGCGAAATGCGGGACGAAGCCATGGTAGCGGGAGCCGCTACACCAACCAAGCGACCGCACGAGAAAGACCGAAGCCCTGGGGCAGAGGACGGTATGCCGACCCAACAGCGTTCGAAACTGGTCACGCCGTGTCGCGGACGGCGCAAGCCGCTCACGCTCCGTGCGGCTCTGGACAACCGCTTCGAGACGGACTCTTAGCACAGAACCTGGCAGGAACCTTCTACCGCGGCTCGTAGTGAGTGCTTCTCCTTGCTAGTTCGAGCGCGTCAGTATAGGGTTTTAGGTTTCCTACTTCTTTCTTAAATAACAAATAAAAAAGCGGTTTAATGCATTAACCCTAAACTGCATGAGCCTGATTGTGCGGAAGAGAAAACTATGGGTACTCAACGAACTACTGAAAATAAATGCCGATATTGTGTTCTTACAGGAGACGAAGCACGCCTCTGATTTACAGGTACAAGAAATGGCCTTGTTTTTTGAAAAACACTTCAATCTTTTCCATTCTAACGCTGTCGCGCACAGCGGGGGAGCGGCTATTCTCATTCGAAAAGATAAAGCTTTCACACTACTTTCCAAGTGGGTAAGTGATAAGAGTGGAAGGATCTGTGCAGTAGATATTCTGTTTCGCGGTGATATCTTTAAACTTGTTTGTGTGCACGCACCAAATGCGCCAGCCGACAGCAAATCGTTTTTTTATCAATTTACGGGAATAATTAGACACGCCTGCAAAGACAATACTGGCGGCAGATTTCAATTGTTTTAAAAGCACGAGATTGCTCCAACGGGCTAAAATCAGACTCCAGTGTCGTAGAGTTGAATAAACTACAGCGAGATTTTGATCTTCAAGATGTGAAAGAGGTGGCAGCAGCACCGGGTTTAGAATATACCCATTGGCCGGGCACTTGTCACGCCCGTCTCGATCGGGTGTACTCTTCAAGTGAATGCGTGGCGACTGCTGACGCATACTCGGTTACCCCTGTTGCCTTCTCCGACCACGCAGTCGTTTCGGTCTGTTTAGGAAGAGTCACGCGCAAAGAAAAAAGAGCCTCGAGCTGGAGCTCCTGGAGAATGAATAAAAGCCTTCTAAAGGATGAGACTTTAAAGGAGTGATGCAACAATTTTTGTACTGTGCACAAATACCGCTTAAAACGGATCCCTAACGTTAATGTCCTATAAAACACGCGTTCGTTTTTCACCCCACGCAATAAAAGTCCTAGAAAAAAATTTAAGAAAAACGAGCAGCGTTCACCCCCTCAACTCGCAGCCAGAACAAGCGGCCACATGATCTGGAGCCGATTATATGCCGCCAGTGTTGATCATAGCCACGCGTTGGGGTTGGCATAGCGCAGGACACGCGCTGAGTGTCAGACATCAATATGGCTCGGCTGTTGTCGTCGTTGCAGCGATTGGACACGGGTCACAACCCGAATGCTTCTCGAGCTAGCAATTGTCACGAGCCCAAGTCGAGTGTCCACGCAATGCTCGGGTCCAGTCAATGAACCGCATTCAAATATCGTCACTTGGGTGTACTGCGATCCCCCAGCTACGTCATCAAATTTTGCAAAGGAGAGATGGAATGAAAATGATCGCTTTTGTCCTTGAAATTACACCGCAACATAGGAGTTTCTTGGCCAATGGCGTTGCGTGTGAGTATCCTTGAGTCCCACTAGTGCCAGTAAGCTCGTGTAGAGAGAAAAACATTCCAATTGAATATCGTTGCACAGCTCCTTTAACTAAACAAATAGAGAACGTCATCCGGAATACAATCGAAGTAGGCGTGTTAGATGCCGTCAGCTGGGAATTGCTCAAAGCAGAGGTAAAGTTAATTACTTTCTGGTTCAGCCAAGAAAAGGCTGCCCGAGTGCGAGCAGAGAGACGCTCCCTAGAAAATACTCTTCGAATCTTAGTTCGTGAAGAATACCACACTCCCGGAGTATTCGCAGAAGATATTTGTGAATGCAAATTGAGGCTGCTCTCGCGTCTAGAGGAGGAGTACCAGGGAGCGATGGTGCTATGTAGGCTGCATGCGCTACAGCTCGAGAAAAAACCGGTTAAACTCTACAAAACTAAAGAACGTTTGCCCGTACGCCGCAACCAAATAACATCACTACGGGCTGGAGATGAGACTGTGTCGGAGCAAGAGCGAATAGGGAAAAAATTGGTTGCCACGTTCACAAAACTGCTGGGAGAGCAAAATGTTGCAAACGGGACCTGTTTCGAGGGATTCTTGGAAGTTATGCCTGAAATTCCTTCAGAGATCTCGGAAAGAATAAACAGTGAAATTACGGGAAAAAAAATTGAGGAGGCGATTAAAGATCTTAAATTTAGGAAGTCACAGGAATGGACGCCCTAGGATCAATGTTTTATAAAAATTTCGCGAATCTGCTAGTCCCGCTGCTTCGGGCCGCATATCAAGATATTTTATTTTCAAAAGCGATTTGCTGCCTCCGTCGAAGCGACAAGCATTAACTGTGCTTATCCCGAAGAAAAACATTGCCTCCAGCGCCACGAGTGTAGCCAACCTGAGACCAATCAATCTACTAACCATATACTACAAAATTCTGGCGAAAATTCTTACCAAACGTCTGGAGGTGGGATTACGCGGCATCGTAGGAAAGCACCAGCCCTACGGACTTAAAGGCAGATCCATCATCACAAACGCGCGCACAATGAGAATCATATGTGAGGCAGCGGAGGCAGAACAGTACCCAATTGGAGTACTGCAAGTAGACCTCAGCAAAGCGTTCGACAGAATGTCACACTACTTCCTTTTTGCCCTTCTTGAACGATGCCGCCTAGGAGGAAGGTTAACGAAGTACTTAAAAATTCGCAACAAAGACATTACAACTCGGCTGTTAGTGAACGGACAACAAACTGCCCCGATAGAGGTCAGATCGTCAGTTCGGCAGGGATGCCCGATGTCGCCTTTGTTATTTGCTCTATATTTGAATCCTCTGTGTAGATCAATCATGACCGATGTCAATATTTGTGGTGTTCATCTAGGTTTCGAGCCGACCAAAATATTAGCCTGTGCAGACGACGTCGCTTTGATCTGTTTGTCGAAGCTAGAGCTGGATCTGGCTTTCAATCATGTAAAGGACTTCTGCGAAATATCATGAGCACCCATGAATACCTCTAAATACCTCTAAATCGACCGGATCCTGGCTTGGCCCATTGATGTTAAAACCAGAGGAATAAATGGGCATAAAGTGGTCCTGCTCACTTGACAATTACCTCGGTATTCGACTGGCGACGGAATCCTTGAGCACTGGCCAGGAAGGTATACATTTAAACAAGGTTAACGGGAAAATGAACGAATGGTACGGAAGACATCTCTCTCTTTTTAACAGAGCGTTTGTATGTAGCTCTGTCTTTTTCTCGAGTGTACGGCACGCGGCACAAATCATACCATCCCGGCAAGGAGAGATTCATCAGGTCCACCGACTTTGTGCCAAGTTCATCTGGCCATCTTTATTTGAACGAATGCGTAGAACCAATTTGTTTCTGAGCCTGTTCAAAGGGGGTTTGGGGCTTGTGAACCTAGAGTTAAAAATAAAAGTTCAATGCTTTCTGTTTTTCCGGGACCAGATTAATCCGGCGTCAACACAAGCACTACGTCTAGGGGGACGGTACTTACCCTTCTGGATAGTGAGTACGGAAAAAGCCTCTATGAAAGCACCAGTACTCAGATTTTATAAAGAAATTAATGAGGAGAGCCACTTCTTCCACGCCAGGTTTTCCTGGGACTACGTAATCAAAATGAACAGAAAAAGGTTGCATGGGTATACTGTTGACTTAGTCATTGCGCCCCCATTATACCGCCCCCCACAGGAAAATTCAGAAGGATCGCGAGTATTCAAGAAATTGCGTAAATACCCTGTAAAAACAAGCATCACAGACTTCTCCGTAAAGTTTCGTGTAGAAGGGCTGCCTGTCAAAACACGGCTTGAGAGCAAAGGGTTCTTTGTAGCATGGTCGACCAATCGTGCACTATGTCCTTTCCCGGAGACTTTGCAAAACGTTTTTCTGCTCTGTACAAATGCGGAAATATTCTGGTCGGAACTTCGAAAGGCTTTAAGCAACAATGCAGAGTTGAACTGGGAGACCTTGAAATAATATTCAAGTCGAGGCAGGGGAAAATAAAAAAATGCACAGAAGTGCTACTGCTGCTTGGGTTGCATGCCATCTGGAGATCCCGAATAAACCACACGCTGGTGTTAGAAAAGGATAAACCTGCTTGGCACCACTTCGTTGATGACTTTGCATACACCAGTAGCCTCTTGGAACACACTGTAATGCCGGGTTTTGAGTCATGGCCAGCGATGTAAGTCGCTTTAAGAAACGGTATGGTAAAAAGAGTAACATTTAAGCACTAGACATTGTATAATGCTCAAACCTTTATGTGAATGTACGGGGTTATGTATATGTAATAAGGGCTAATATTATGCGAGTGCTCAATGGCCAAGGTGGCCCTTTGTAATGCTTTTAAATTGTAAATAAACGCATTCTATTAAAAAAAAAGAGCCCCTGTAGCTCGGTGGGAAAGATGTCCGCTTCACACGCGGCGGGGCGGTTTCGACCCCCAGTGAACTTTTTTTTTTTTCAAACATTTTTCGATGCCTAGATTTCTTTTTTACAATTATCACTGATGAAACAAACAAACAAACAAACAAACAAACAAACAAAAAAATTTTGTGGGCGACACGTCGCTGAATTAAATGGTATGGGATTTCCTTTTTGACATCTGCGAACTCAATGTAATCACTTTCCACAAAATGTAAAGAGCATATAAATCAGGTAGCGTCCGCTTTCCGAGGTGCCCATAAATGTTCTACAGGAATTGCAGCCAGCCATTGGTCCCGATCCCGTTGATCTTTGCGAAACTCTGTCGCACAATGCCACTTTTTTTTTTCGGACGCAGGACATGTGAGCTACCTCTTCACGCAACATGTTGGGTGTATTCGTTTCGAAGCCGGTCATGGAAATTCACCACGGGCACTCACTACTCATCTCCAGCTCCTCAATGTACAAAACAACTCATCTTGGAGTACAGAACAGCGAGTGGAACAAATATAACGGCAAAAGAATCGCACGGCAAACAGTTCCCGCTACGCCGCATGTCGTCTTCTACGCAGAAAACAAAAGAAAAAAGACGAAGAAAAAAAAAAAGAAAAAAAAAAACGCACGGTCGGGTGTTG